ATAATTGAATAACTCAAGAAAATCTGACTTGGAGGGCAGAGAAGACTGCAAAAGACTAAAAGGAGAAACCTCATGAAATCTTAAGCCATACTTGTATCGAACTAAAAACGCAAAGTAACATGGTAATAACTTGTTTTACTCATCAAATAAGCATTATTAAGTTCTAGAACAAGGATTTCAATTTCCACAGCCAGTTTGTTAAGAATCAAGCATCCCCTTCGCTAATAAAAGTATTGAACACAACGTGGTCGGTAGATTTCGAGTACAAAACGAGAAGGAAATACTGACATATAATGGAAAGAACACTGTAATAAGGCCTACAATGCTTATTTTCAGAATGTCAACAAAATATCAAGTGAATCACCACCCTATTCAATTCCAACTTACCAAATACAATTAAGAACATTCACTCAAGTGTAGCAACTCGATTAGCATGGTTAAAAACATCAATTGTGTAGTGGACCAACCATGAAGGTATCAAGAATTCAGATGAACAGAACAAACGATTGAAACGAAACAGAACAACAAAGTAAATATCATACTTCAAACTGTTCCAAACTGGTATAGGCTCCAGAAGTAAGCTTCCCACGAACAGTCCCAAAATCCATCGGATGCTCTATAATTTCATGATAGTCTGGAAGCTACAAAGTATCGTTTTAAAAGTAAAATCAGACAAAGCATCTCATAAAACCCAAAAGCTGGTTGGCATCATCAATCCCAAAACCAACCTCGTTGGGGTCCACTGGTTCGGAAAACACCCCATAGATATCCTTCCTGGAATTAAAGCACTAAGGACATTAAAATTAATTTTTAAAAAAAACCCACAGAAAGATGAGCTGAAAAAACACACTTTTGAAGCCTGTCGAGGATGAAGAGTAAAAGCTTCTTATCAGGTAAAAGCGTCAAGGGTCCCGAATCCATATGCGACCCTGCATGTAATTATGTCCATAATGATTAAAAACGGTCACAAACATGGTTTTCAAAGAACTGGCGTTTGATTATTGACAAAAACCTTGAAGGGTTTCCGATGGGTTTGTAGTAGAAATGGACTTTTCACCCTGAGACATCAAAAAGAAACAGCCAATGCGCCAACAGTTACAGTCGGACAAATCATTTTCCAATTATGGGTGAGCTCAAGAAACAGAGTAGATCTAATGAAAAAGTAAACAGGACTAGGAATCAGACTGCCACGAATGGGGAGAAAAAAAAAGAAAAAAAAAAGAAACCCGATTATCATGTGGGAAAATAATTAAGGAACGAAAAGACAAATCCGAACTTTTTCGTTTAAAATATGACAGTCAAATCAGATCGTTTTTAAGGAAGATAAGTACCCAGTAAATGCTCATAAATCAAATAGTAAGCAACGAATTTAATATGATGATGAAGAAAAAATTTGAACCACAACTGAAAATTCAGAGAACCCATTTCAAATTAGCTAAGTCAACTACCCTTGACTGAGATACTCGAAAATCCAACAGCAAAATTCAAAAGTGCGAAATTCAAGGAAACTCTTTCGGACACTGTCACCGTATTTTCTCCACTCACCCACAAAATAAAAACGTACGAATCTCCCAATAACTTTGGCGCCTTAACATTTGGTACTTTGTTGAACAAGATCAGCCCCCATTTCCCCCATGAAAAACGAGGGAAAATGCAAAACAAACACAAACCCAGAATATTCAACCACAAATTGCAGTACCTTCTCGGAGTCTTGGATCCTAGATCCCTCCGCAATTGAACCGATCTTCCGCTTCTTATTAGCCGACGCAACATTATCGTCCCCCTCCGCATTAGAATCGGAACCACCGGAATTGAGAGAGGACGAATTGACGGGAGGTTTCTGAGAGTGCAATCTGAGAACGAGCTTGAGTTTCCTCTCGCGGCGGTTCCTGGCCAATTCTTGGTTGTATTCGGCATCGTCGTGGTCATCGGGAGTGAGTCCGTCGGGGTTGGGATTCCGGCGAGTAGATCGCCGCAAGGGAGTAGAAGAAGCGTAATTAGGGTTGGGAATTGCGGAGGAGCGGTCGATTCGCTTGGGTTTGTTGTGATTCTGTTGCTTCTGCTCTTCATCCTCTTGTTCTTGCTGTTCCTTTAGATTCCGCTTTTGAAGATCCAACAGCGATGGCCGCCCTTTCTTCCTCTTCTTCCTCTCCACTACCTTACCCATTGCTGCTGCTTCCCCTCTCTCTCTCTCTATCTCTCTGGAGAGAAAACAAACAAAGCCGTATTATTCCATTTATTTTTTATTTTATTTTATTTCTTTTTTATTTATTTTTTCTTAATTATTTAAATTATACTCAAACTTTGAGTCTAATTTTAATTTTATTTATGTAATTATTATTTTAATTATACCCACACTAATTAAAGGAGTTATCAAATTATAAATCGAACCATACGAGATCTTTAAAAAATAAATGAAAATGCAGTAAATATTGGTATTTGTTAAGCAGTTACGGGTATGTTTCGGGTTAATTATAAATCGAACAAAACAAGATTTTCAAAAAATAAATGGCAAATATGGTAATTATTCGTATTTGTTAAGTAGTTACTGGTATGAGTCGGGTTAAAGATGAATTACAAATCGAGACTTGAAAAGTGATTGTCGGGTAGTTAAAGTCTCGTATATTATTATTGTATTTATATTGAGACCATTTTAAACCTTTATTTATTTATTTTAATGCGTGAATTTAAATAATTTTAAAGCTGGAGAAAAGCTTTTTTATGGAATAAAGACATAATTGAAACTAACACCAAAGTATCAATTTGAATAATTTAACTTTTTTTTCTTTTTTTTTTTAATATAATTTTTTTAAGGAGTTTTGTGAAATTGAGGAGGGGAGGCACGCTTGTCACGTGATGTTTGTGAACGACTAATGGGTGATTGACACGTGGAGGCTGGGAGTGCTCTGTTTGAAACCAATATTGTTCGAGAAGGAACAAGATATTTTTGTTCTTTTCGTGTCTACGTGGCGAACAGATAAATTCTTGAACTGTTGGAAATTTTCTTTTATATATATATATATATACATATATTTGTTTGAACTTTTTATTTAAAATAAATAAATTTTAGTATATAACAATTTAGTCCCTGTACTTTTAAATTTCTAACAGTTTAGTCCCTAATTATATATTGACTAACATGTATTTATTAAAATTTGAATCAAATATATTAGCGCCCGTGTTACGTAAAGCTTGACTTACCTTTTAACACCAACGATTGATAGGAACAAAACTGTTTCTCGACGTTCGAAACCCAACTCATGTATCTCTTGCATCAACAAACAACCGAACCCTTGGAGACCTTGTTCAATCTTTAGGATGTGATGAGCTAACATCGAGATGCCAAACGAATCTATCGATAAGAGTTCTTGGGAGTCAGTAGTCAGACATCGAGCTTTTATCTTGACCAAGAAAACCTCAGAATATAGTGGCACGCCAATTTAACCAAATAGTTGGATATTCAACCAAATATTACAAAAAGCCAATTTACAAAAATGGCCAACTCATCAAATGACAATGGTAATATGGTAATATGACAATGGCATTTAATAAATTAAATTAATTTTGGTAGAATAATAATTTAACCCTAAAATTAAAATACATTTTTAATTTTTCAACTCAAAATAATTATATAAATATTTACTACAAAAATATAAAAATAAATAATATACCTTTTTGAGTGGATTACAGTTGTTTTGAAGAGCTTAATTTCAATGATCACGTGAGTTTCCATTCTAATGGGCCAATCAATCCGCGTGTGGGCCCGAAACGTGGGCCTCACGTGACTTTGACCTCACAATTTACATATATTTAATATCTATTTTTTTAATAAATTCTTTAAAAAATTTAATGTATAATAAATTTTTAAAATTTTAACTTTACCTCATTTTAAAAAAAATTATATAAATATGCTAAATAAATAATTTATAATTACTTTTATACTTAATAAATTAGTTATGTTTAAAAGAAAAAAAGAAGCAATAATATAAATATTATTGTACATGTTTTTAGTTAATTAATTAATGGGGTTCTAAATTTGGTATAATTATTATTTTACAATATTATATATTATATTATACATATTTTAATTTTAAAAAAAATTAAGTTTCAAATTCAAAACCTTAATTTTTTAATTTTTAATTTTTAATATAATTGATATTTTTATTTTTGTCTACTAGTCAAAATTAGTTAGGAAGCAGATTCCACTTGGAGGAAAGTCGAATTATACTTACAGCTGTGCTCAGAGAAAATTCCCTCATTTTCAACTTTTTATTATACCTACCTTTAATTTTCTATATGGTAATTTATTGTACAATAAATAAATAAATAAATATATATATTCGGAGTTCGAGTTGGGTTGGATTGGAGAAATTTTTTGACAAATACGAAATTTTGGGTTGGTTGGGTTGCCCGAACAACCCAATTAGGGTTCGTAGCTCAACTCTCCGTTCAAGGGTTTGGTTGAGTTGTTAGTTTTTTTGTTTTTACACTAATAATTACAATTTAAGATTAAATATCAGACGTTCACAAGTTATAATGCATCGCTATCGTCAATTATAAACGTTAAATATTCTTAATTTTCATAATAATAAGTACGGTAGAGTTAGGTTGTATTATAACCTTATTTTTTGGTGGGTAGGGTTGACCCAACAAAAAATGTCAATTTACATAACTGACCTGAATTTTCGGTCTTCTTAAAATTCAACCTAATCTAAATCGAAAAAAATCTAAGCTAGTCCAAGTTGGGTCGAGTAATCCAAATTCTCGAATTATATAAACACCTCTAATAATTAGTCGGACATAACTCAACGGACTAAAAAGACAAAAACTCGAGCAAAATTCAACCGATTCAATAACATTAAATTTTTAAAATATTTTTATAGTTAAAAAACCAGTACATATTTAATGGTTTCTAAAGCTTAATTATAAAATTATAAAATTTAAAGATAAATAATAAAATTAAAGTATGACGTAATAATCTAAAATATGACGTAATAATCTAAAATAAAGGTTAATTTAGATTATATTTAATTCAACTAAGCATATAATGATTTGAACGCTAAGCACAAAACTTGTGATCCTTATTTTCTTTATACAAAAATAAAAAAAGAAATTAAAATTAAAATTAAAAAAAAAAAAAAAAACTTTAATCTTCATCTTCTTCCTCAGTCCAACGCGTTCGGCCCTGCACAGGCTTTCAAAACCGGACTCCATAGCCACTGCACCAAAAACCTTCGTCCATTTCCACCATTTAAATTAAAACTCCGCCCTTCTCCGTCTTTCATCACCGCCCCAATATACCCTCCTCCGCCGCCGCTTCCGTACAGCCCCTCACACAGATCCCCAATCTCCGTCGGCGCCGTCGGATCCTCGCCGGCGTACCAAGCATTCACCAATGGATTCGACGAAAGCTCTGCCAACTCATGTCCGATCACGCTTATCATCCCATCCACTCCGATATCCCCGTTCGGAGGCGAAAGCGCCGCCGCCCCTCCGCCGCCCATATACCCTGGAATGGCGAATGGATATGCGCAAACCTCGGGGCACTGCTGCCCGGAGTTTCCAACCCAGGCATACGGCAACGTGTAGCCGACCATCGATGGGAAAGTGAAGTAATGGAATCCACAAACGGCTCTGCAGAAATCTTGAACAATCACGTCGCCGGAAGTTAGGATTAGGTAGATTCCGTTGCGGTGGTCGACCGGGAACGGTGCGGATCGGACGGCGGAGGCGATGACTTGTTGGATTGAGAGACGGGTGAGTTGGGTGCCGAGGGAGTATCGGCGATCGGAATATTCGCCGGCGATTACGATGGAGCGGGACACGTTGGCGCCGGTTTGGTCGTTGTAGAGAGTGACAGTCCGCCACCACTCTGCGACTGAGGGAGATGGAGCAGCGGCGGCGACGGAGAATGAGAGCAAGAAATCCTTGATGAGATTCTGTTCCGGAAGAGCCCATTTGCCGTACCAAATAAGGTAAATGTTAATCGGAGAAGACGAGAGCACCGGGCCCATGTGGTACCGGAGATTGACCAAATTGGAGGAGCCCTCGAATCTTTTCGAGGCGGAGAGGCTTGGCGGCGGAAGTTTTGGGTTGTGCACGGTGGCGGATCCCGACCGAAATTTCGAAGAGGAAGAAGAAGCTGCCGCCACGACATCGGTGTAAAGAACGAGGAGAATAGAAAAGGCAAGAAGGGGGCGGAGAGATGACATTTTCTGGGCCGATGCAGTGGCGGAGACGGCGGCGGTAGCAGCGGAGGAGGTGGAGCAGAGAGGCGGAAATGGAGGGGTATTTATAGGGACGGTGAAACTGAGGGAAGGGAATGTGGTTGGAGACAGCTAGTTATGTATTTTACTGCAATTCTTTTTCCTTATTTATTTATTTTCAATTTTTTTAAAGTTAAATTTAAATTCATTGGTATTTTTCTTAACCAAAATAATAATAATAATAAATTTGTAGCTTTTTAAACACTAAATTTTAAAAATTATATAATAAGTCTTTAAAATTTTAAAATTTTAAAATTGTGTCTATTTAACAATAAACTTTAAAAATTATTTAATAAAATTTAATTTTTTTTATTTTGTATCTAATATATTATTTACCTATTTTTTAATTTTTACCCACAAATTTAAAAATTAAATAATTTTTAGGGAATAATGAATTTGGAACGATAATCGAGGAATAATATGACACTTTAATTTCAATTCTCGAAAAAACTGACTGCTTTGGTTTATGTTTTGCCTTTTAAAACGACAACGTTTTAAGGCTTTTTTTGGAAGTTTTGAATTTCTGTTCATTCATATTTACTTTTTATTCGATATTAAATTAATAAAAACATTTTAACTATAATATATATCTATATATATATTTATTTATTTATTTATATACATATACACTAAATTTTTCAAAACTTTTAATAATATCTTTAAATTAAAAAAAATATTAAAAATACCATTATTCGAGTCTTTTAAAAAAAATCGTTAATATTTTTTTAAAATATATATATATTTGAACTTTTAAAGGTTTAACTTTAAAAAATAACATTAACCGTTTATAGATAATTTATGAGACGTGAGCGTATGGTTTGTAATTGATAGTGATAATTTTTTTTATAAACATTAAACGTGTTAATGCTAATGTAAAAATATCATTAATATTTTTTATATATTTTTTAAAACTTTTTTTATTAAAAAAATAATTTTAAAAGAAAAAAAAACTGTTATTAAAGTATTTGTGAGACAAAAGTATAAAATTTAGGAATTTTTAATTAATTTAACTAATAAAATATTATATATTGCATGAAGTTTATTAATCGACTAAAAAATTGAATATTCGAATTTCTCTATTTATTTGATAAATTATAAAATAATTTTAGTTACTAAAAAAAGCCCCTAGACATAGATAGACAACTATTTTTCTTGTTTTCTTTTTATTCTTATTTTTGAAAAGAATGATATTATTCCGTTTCATATTAATTTAAAATATAGTTTTTAAAATCAATTATTTGGTCACGTTAAATAATTTCTCCTCATTTTATTGTTTGTTACTCTTATATGGTTTGTATTAAAAAATGTATATATCCAAAACTATATATTAAATTTAGTTTTAAATAAAATTACTTAAGAAATTAAGTAAATGTTTTTATAAGTGGTCATCATATATTATTTTAAATTCATATAGTACAAATTTTAAATATATTTTTATGTATACATTAAAATAACAATTTTAATGAAAAACGAACATTTGGGTATCTAAATACACATATGAAGTTGTAGTAGGAGCTTGTGCCTGCTATCTAAGAATTGCTGTATGGATCTCATATGAAAATGCTTGATGCTTCTTTGGCGACCGTGAAATCACTAGATGAATTGCCACGTAGATAGATCAGATCTAGACGTGGCTGTTGCTCTGCGGCAATACAGACTCGGTCTGTCCCTACCCATCTTGGGGTACCATAGCATATTGAGAATAAGGAGGGACATGTTGAACGTAATCACTCCCTTGATTGGAGGCTGTGTCGCTCTGCCTTTACGATTGGTACATAGTTGAGTAGGCCGACCTATTGATTATAACATCTGATTATATAGTTGATCATTTGGACCTTTCAACTCATAGACGTGGGTCTCGAACCTATTAACGAGGATAATCCTGAAGTTCACGAAGAAAAAAGGGAGTTAGAAGAACAATGGACACAACAGTGATTTTTTTAACTGATTGCAAAAGAGGAGAAATCAGCAACATTAAATATATTTTCTCGGAGGATTACAAGTTTTTAACCGACTAGAAAAAAAACTACATTTTTAAGCTGCTCCCATTTCGTTCGCAGCTACTACAGGAATCACTTTTGCTTTCCTTCCCGATCGGTTGTCTCTAGCTTATCCATGAATTCAACAATACTTTAAAACGTTGACCTTGGACAAATCTGATTCTCAGCTTATTTTTAACTCCGGAGAGTATTTCACGACAAATTAAAGAACTCGTTCCATAAATAATTAAAAAAAAAACTTTTTTATATTTAAAAAAATGGTTTAAAATTCGAATATTCTTTTGATGGAAATTTAAAATAAATATGAAATGAAATGATTAAATTATTTGCAAACAAACAATTTTTATAAATGAAAAAAATTAAAAATAATATTATTTATTAAATGGGGCCTAAAAAATTCATGGATTAAGACTTTATCGTTTATCAATCACAAAATTTGATGCTAATATGTCATTTTCAAATATAATTAATTAAAAAAATATAAAAAAGAATAAAAAATAAAATGAATTATTATTAGTGGTTTAAATAAAATTTGATGGGCCTTTGTAAAATATTGACCTAGCTTTTTATCACTAAATATTTGAGTTTGTTTTTTTTTTTTTTTTTTTAAAAAACATTATAGTTTTAAATCCCCGAGGGAATTTGTCTCTCGAAAAGACGACATAGAATATGACACTAGCAATTCACAACTCAACCTAAACCATGGTTGGATTTGGTTGTCGGGTTTTTTCTTTAATTATTAAAAAAAAAATGTACTTATCTACAGTACATGTTCTAATGTATCACTGACATTGGTTACAAAACGTCAAATATTCTTAATCTTCGTAATAATCTTTAAAGTAGGGTGAGGTAGGGTAGAGTTGGATTGTAACCCTATTGTTGTGTTGGTCGGGTTGGCCTGACCAACATATGTCAACCCATGAGCCGACCCGAATTTTAAATTAAAAAAAAAAATCTAACCCAACCTAACGTTTATGATTTGAGGTATATAGTCTGAATTGATCGGGTTCTCAAGTCATTCAAAAGATGATAGCTACAACTATTTAGGGGTGTTTAAGGCTCGTGGTTGGTTGGCGTATAGTTATTTACATAAAATTGTTTAATATGGAGTGTTATTTAATCTATGTTCTAGTGGATTGTGAAGTCGTATTTAGGATGTAGGGTTGGAGGTAGAGTCGAGAAGTATTTATTTAGGGTGCAATAGCTTTACGAGAAAATTGTCAAGGTGAAATTAGGTTTTTTGCTTTCTCGATGCGTAGTGCATACGGGAAAAAATTGCCCAACGACTAGAAAAGCCCTAGAGATTCTATGGAAAATTGGAAACGTCGAAGTGAACTGTGACTTATAAACAGGAAGATCAGGAGATAACGAGCGAAAGATATTCATGATATTAGGTTTTATTTATGTTCTCTCGTTCTTTTTTCTCTCGGTTGAGTTGCTTCGCTCCTTCCCCTCATCAACTCGGACGTTAGTTTGTGCAAACAAAAGATACCTAACACATGACTACCGACAAAATTTCTGACCGAGCCATTTTCTTAGACCCATCAAATAACCGTGTGGAGGTTTATGATCAAATAAATAAAACGAGAATAAAATAATTAAAACTTTATTAATCGAGAAAAATCAAATTAAAAAATTTAAAATTACAGAGACGAAATTATTTATAATTTAATAAATAATAATTTAAAAATAAATCTAACAATTGGAGGCCTTGTCACACTAGTGGATTCCAGTGGAGCAGGCCGCTTTAAGGCAGCACTATGAGAGATTCAAATTCGGCTGATCCTGGCCGTCCAATCCTACGGAGGCATATCTTTTGGGCCGTCCGTATTTGACGTTTTACCGCGATCGTCAATCCGCACCGTTTCACCTTTTCCCCCACACGATTCGGATTCACCTTGCCGTGTTTCGCTAAAATACGCCTTTTTTTTCCTCGATATTTAATCTTATTTATTATATTTTTAAAATATTCATAAAATAATATTAAACTTTTTAAATATAATTCGTGAGTATCGATAGGCTTTACGTCCATATATTGATAATAATTTTTTATTAATAAAGATTGTACTGTTACTATCACGTGAAGGTTTTCTGCATTCCCCTATCTAAATTTCGACATTAATAATCGATGCTATTGATAGTGAAATCTTCACGTCATGTTGAAGACAGATGTCACACGTGAAGATATTAGTATCAAGATCGTCACATATGAAGAACAAGAATGTCACACGTGATCGAATCATCCTCGAGGAAGACGACCAGAAGAGAAAATTGTGAAGTTCAAGAAAAGGACGAGCGGAATAAGTCAAAGCATCTCCTCGACTTCATCGTCGAGTAGGTGTGTAGTGATTTTATTTACTTTTCTTGTCCATGAATTTTATTTTTATAATTTGATAAAAAAAAATTGTAAATAATCTCTATAATTGAAGAGACTATATAAATTATTTATAACTAAATTCTAATTTTATTTAAATTAATAATTTAACAGTTTTGGGCTTCAACATAAAGCCCATCAATGAAGATAGCTTGTCTCAATCCAAATAAAGTGGGCCTCAATATGGGCCTCTAATGGGCTTTAGAGGATGATTTACACATTTCTTTCCCAAACAGACTTGTATGGTCGGTCACCAAAATCATGTCTATGCGAGTCTTAGCTAGTTGTCACTTCTTCCTATTCGGGTTATATGCTATCAAAGCTATTATTGTTGCCTAATTAGTTTTAGCTTACAACATTGCTTTCTCGTTCACGTTTTCTAAAACGTGACTCGGGACTCGAGTATACGTCGACGTTGTCCGTAAAATTCGAATTTCTCATGGTTGACTTGTTCGCTGAATTAGAACAAGTTGGCCCGTTGTTGCAAGAGTGCGGTTGTGACACCTTGTATCTTTACCTTAATTGCCGAGACATAACCTAGTACATTATTATTCGTACCCAAAATTTTTAATCATGTTATTAATATTTAATATTAATTACCATATTTTTATGATCAGATAATAAAAATATACAAATATATTAGAATTGTAATTAAAAAGGAAAATAAAAGGAATGGCATTTTTGTAAATAAGATCAACAAAACAGGAAACGGAGATTATTTTTTAATTTTAATTTTTTTTTCTCTCAGCGACAGAAACCTCCCCCCTCCCGCATCTCTCAACCTGCTCCTGCATCAGTGTGTATCCCATTTCATTTCCATTTCCATTTTCATTTTTTTTTTGTATGGTTTTTTTTTTTCTTCTCTCAATCGGGTTGTGAGGGTCGTTTCAATCACTTGATTTTGTTTTCTCAGGGTTGTTCGATTTGTTCTTAATCCGTGTGTGTTTGATCTGTTTTTTTTTTTTTTTTTTTTTTTTTTTTTTTTAAAATTCCTCATGCGCGTGTGCTGTGATTCCGTCAGCTCGTTTCTCCGATCCAAGAGTTGTAGATTTTGATTTCAGCAATGGCATCGGCGCAGAACTCAGCGCCGAATGTGGATCTCTTTGATGCATACTTTCGACGTGCCGATTTGGACCGCGATGGTCGAATTAGTGGTGCTGAAGCGGTTGCCTTCTTTCAAGGGTCTGGATTGCCCAAACAGGTTCTTGCTCAGGTAACTCCATTACTCCTCCTCCTTTTTCTTTCTTGTTTTTTGGTGTTTGCGCTGTTTTGCACTTCGCATGGTGGGTTTTTGGTTGCTGTTTGAAGTTGACGAAAATTGATGTTGCTTGGGTTTAGTTTAACTGAGATTTCAATCAGGTCTGTAGTTTTTTTTCTTCTTTTGTTATCTTAAGAGGGTGGAATTGCGATTTTGATACCTATTGGCTTTGTGAGTTTGAGAATCTTTGTGAACTTCTAATCTTGTATCTTCATAATTTGGCTTCAGCTCTTGTACTATTTGTTACTGTTTTGTTGATCTATCTGCAGATTTGGGCACTTTCGGACCCGAGACAGATTGGTTTTCTCGGTCGGGCGGAGTTTAATAATGCCCTTAGGCTGGTCACTGTAGCACAGAGTAAGAGGGAACTAACCCCTGAGATTGTAAAAGCAGCATTGTTTAGCCCAGCTGCATCTAAAATACCTGCACCACAAATAAATTTCAATACCCCGCCTGCATCTCAGTTCAATCCTACTCCAGCGTTACCTAAACCTCAGACTGGCATTGGTACTCCAACTCCCTCACAAGGCTCTGGGTTGGAATCACAGGTTGCTCGAAGTGTTACTACGACTGCTTCACCGGTTCCTTCTAGAGAGAATCAATCTGTAAGGCCTCCGTTGGCCACTTCAAATTCTGCTTTCCATCCAGTGCAGGGATTTTCAGGAGTAGGTCCCGTGTCGGGGCCACCTCCAACAAATTCTAGCATCTCGAATGATTGGGTCAGTGACCATGCTGGTGGAGTTCAGGGGACACCTTCACAACCTCCGAACATAGGATTCAGTCCTGCTGGAACACAGGTTGGATTTGGGCAATCAAGTGCAGGACTAATAACTTCTCTACCCCCTAGGCCTCAGACTGCTCCTGGAATAAAGTCGGCTACACCATCACCTGTGGATAGTAATGTGCAAGGTTTTTCTGGAAATGGGATTGCTTCTGGATCATATTTTGGAGGAGGGCACTTTGCTGCAAGTTCTGTTCCCTCAAAACAAGATGTCCCCTCGGATAAATTGTCGACTGGCAATATCAGTTCTACATCAGCCACTGTTCCTGTACCTTCTGCTACACAACCAATAGTTAGAGCAGGTTCCCTTGATTCTTTGCAAAATTCATTTATGAAACCACCTCTTGCTAATCAGCCTCCACGGAACCAGCCACTAGGGAAGCCCAATCAACAGAGCATATCGCACCCTGCTTCCTCTGGATTATCAACAGGATCTCAGAACTCTGTTTCTGGTCAATCTCAGCGCCCTTGGCCTAGAATGACACAGACTGATGTGCAGAAGTATACTAAAGTTTTTGTTGTGGTGGATAAAGATAGAGATGGAAAAATTACCGGTGAAGAAGCACGCAATTTGTTCTTGAGTTGGAGACTGCCAAGAGGTATAAATTCATTTTAAGGAGGATTTTGAACTTTTCATTTCAAATTTTGCAAGGTCGCTGTCCCCTTTTCCACTTTCTATTTATCATCATTCCCGATTCTTCGTTTGTTTTTGAGTCTGTTATACAACAAGTTCGGACTGTTCTGTAACTTCTAAGCACATTGAAACATGAAGTGAAATTTAGGTTCTAGTTGTGAATCACTTTGTGTGATATTGATGAATAATCTTTGAGTTGTCTAGTGGTGCTTGCCACTCAATTCCACTTGCATACACACCCATACAATCGGATACAACATTTGAAAACTGCCTTTTGACCTTTTATTTTATTGTTAAATGTCCTGTTACTTCCCCTGGATGATACTTATTTTTTCTTCTATGGTTAAGAAACAATTTTAAAATTAGACGGAATGTAAAACAAAAAATTGTTGGGTGGGTAGTGGGGGGGGGGGGGGGGGGGGGGGGG